TGTAACATGACTACACACACAAAAAATAAAAAATAAAAAAAAAAATCCAATCACTATATAGTTTTGTCGTCGATCTTGTGAAGTAATTTATATGTTTAGCTTATAGAGAGCTAATTCAAATAAAAACTAGTCATGGTGTGAGAATCGTATTTGATGTTATTTTTAATAGTGTATGATGTTATTTTCAATATTACATGGCGCTATAATTTTCATAAATGCTAATATAATTGTGTTGCTAGTTTTGATAAAATATATACTAAATAAAAATAGCATTAAAACACAACGTACAATTAAAATAGCGGTTCTTACGCTACGACTTGATTCTCATTTAAACCACATCCTTATATGTATATATACATTTTTCGGAAACTTATTATGCCTAAGCATATACAAATAGCTGACGCAGAAAGATTTTTATTTTCTTTTTAATATATAATTTTATTTTAGTTACTTTCTAATTTATAATTGTTATGTTTGTAGTCTATATTCATATACTTGTATGTCATATTGGATGATGCATAAGGATTTTTAATTTCTTTTTAATACATAATTGTATTTTTAATTGCTTTCTAATATATAATTGTTATGTTATTGTAGTTTATATTCATATACTTGTATATGTCATATTGGATGATGATGACGATGACGTTGACGACAATGATATTGTACTTTGTATAAAGAAAGATATTTTTTATGAATTATTACTCAATTAGAAATCAAAACGTCACAATAAATTTTTATTTTTTTTAGGATTTTTAGGTAGTAAATAAAAAAATTAAGCCAATTGATATAAGATAGTATAACTAAGGAGTAAGTAGGTCTAGCAAACCGGTCGAATAAATCAAATCAGCCACACTGGTACAACAGAACACGAGCATGGTGGTCATGGTCGAACATCACAGGAACAAGAGCCTCTGTACTGGGAGAAAACTTAAAAGGTATTCCGGTACATAAATGGCTGGTCGATCCCGGACTCTTGGAGAGTCTGGTCGAAGATCGACCTGCGGCACAAACGGTCTGATCAACCATTAACAGACTAGGAGCAATCAGCGAGTCCACATGTTTGGTCGAGTATAAGAGCCTTCGAGGAGATTTTAGAGGAATCAAATCCCCACGTGTGGAGGACACGCGGCGCGATCCAATTAGTCCATATCACCTAACCGTCTCTAACACACCTCCAGTGTGTGTTGTACGACCGGATAGGCTGGGCAGCTTTAGGCAGCCACCTCTGCTCATTCGGGCAGCCTTCTACAAGTAGGTACTTCACCCTTATATATAGGGGTGAGCTTTACAATTTCAGCAAGATTTCTATTATACTCTTGAGACTGGAGTAGAGCTTATATTGGATTAAGCATCGAAGGCTCTTCACTGGAAACCCCTCTGATGTGGAAGTTTTGCATGTACTCGGTGTTCTACCGGCAAGGAGAAAGAAGGCAAGCGAATTTCCAATCGGTTGGAGTGTTTAACGTACCATTGTGGCGCCGTCTGTGGGGACTTTCGTTCAAAAGGTTGAAGATTTGGCGCTGTTCAACTACGGCGGACGAGATTTCAGAAAAAACATATAGCCGTCGTTCGAAGACGCGTAGACGATGGTGCGACCGTTCGGAGCTGGTCCCCCACCGGGCTTCTCCAGACTTTCTCAAACTCCATATGACTCTCGATGCTCGCACATTGTCATTTAATGCGACTTGATGGCGACGTTCAGCTCTGCAGGTGGGTCCCACACTCGATGATTGCTTTTGGTCAGTAAGATGGATATCTGTCTTTTCCGAATTTAATGCTGTCAAAGATCAGTCTTCAAGGATTTTTGGTCGGCTCTTTTATGATGGGATAGTCGAGTTTTTCACGGAACTGGCATTGACACTAGACTTTTCATTGTCTATTTCGTGGTCATGGACCGACTACGAGGCGAAGAGATCAAATGGGGATTTTGAGGTAGAGGGTTTATTAGTTGTAGGATTTTGGTTTTGTTGCAGTTTGAAGGTGTGTTGATAGTCTTAGAAGATTGTTTGTTACTGTAATTGCTTGTGTTGACAGATGATTCTGAATTACTACTCCAGTTGTTTGTTTTGACATGAGGGTGACGGGTTGTCGTAGGCTCTTGGCCAACTCCAATAAGACCTTATGCCATGTCACATGTTATTATGTCTTTTGTTCTTTTGTCACAAGATCTTGCTAAGTGTCCAATAATGCGACAGTAATAGTAGACATTTGAAATCTTTCATACTTGAAATTACCACAATTCTCTTGTTTTCAAGTTGGATGTTGGCGCACCTCATCAAGGGTTGATGTATACCTACTGTGATAAGAAGCCTTATGCACTTTCCAGCTAAATTGCCCCTTGTGGTATGACCCCATCTATAACTTTTTTGAAGGCCTTGCCAATTGTAAGTCCCACATCAACTGATATTTAGTTGACTGGTATATTTCATATTTGTATCCAAGTGTCTAACTCTGCAAAGGATTGGTGGTCAGCATTTAGGTCTTTTTCCCATTCTCGAAGCAGTATCGATTGATTCTGAAAGTTCTAGTTGATTCCTTTTAATACACTTTAGTATTATCTGCTAAATCACTGAAGAAGAAGTGAGAGTAATTGGTGCTTAACTCTTTTACACTTAGTGTTATGGAATTTGTAACAACATAATTTACATGTAGTTAAGATGAAAAACGCAAGAAACTTGTATTAAACTTGTTACTTTCGATATACAAGAAGTCGATTTTTGCATGAACCGAACAAATTTGCATGGACATAATAAATGTTTGCAAAAAAAAATCCTTGTACAACATTGGATTCTGCTATTTATAGTGGCACTTGACGGCTCGTTATTCGAGGTTGGTGTGATTGCATTTAATGTAAAGCGGCTTTATGAAGCGGTTGGTCGGTCCACAGGTGTTTCGTAATGATTATGAGGTGTTCATGGTCAAACTACATGGGCGCCTCATCACCAGCTTCGGTCTCGGTTTTTCTTGACGTATGTTATAGCTTCGGAGATGAAGTCGATTTTCTATTCAGTCTGACCCAAGGTGTTACGTGTTGTAATTGCAAGTCTTGCGTCTTTAAGTACAATTGCACCCTTTAAGCATGGTTCAGCCAGGTCGGTTGTCAACATAAGTGACAGAAGCCCTAATTTGCCAGATCGGACCAATGGTTCTTCTGAGACCAACCAGATTTACTCGTTTGTGGCATTCTAATTTCGCAAATAAACTACTTTTGCATTCCTCCAAACTAATTTAAATATCTAATGGCTCAATTGTGATGATATTAGCCTCTTTGTCCGACAGTTGGAAATTCTCCAATAATGTCTTCCTCCATTTCCAGATAAACCAGATGGCAAATGAATAAAAATAACAAGAAGGACACGAATAATGAATAACAAAAGGCTACCAAACACAACGTGGAAAATTAGTCAAAATTCAACGAGAGGAATTCGTTCCAAAAGAAAGAATGGCTATTGCTATGATGAATCTTTTTCACATAGACTAAAATATTGCTATGATGTATCTTCTTGTTATTTATTTGTTGATTTTTTTTGTTCAAATAAAAGGAAATTAGAGAGTTTACAAAACATAGCTACCAATTTCAGGTGTCTCATAATTTTTTGTTCTTGTTTTTCTTTTTGTTGTTTAGTAATTTATATATCTGATTTTTGGTTTTGTAGATTTGGACTATCCATACCTAATGTAACTTTTAAGGTA